CTATTCAGGGATTATACACTGATAAAAACATATCTATGAATATTATATTCCATGTCTGCCAATAGATCCTCCTAAATGTTACACACTAGAACTGCATTAGTGAAAAGTTTTTGCTTAAAAGTGTCAGTAATTGCATGGAGACATCTATTTTTCACTCAACACTGGATATTCTTTGATGCTTGTACAAGGTGAACGCGTTGCTCCTCTGCGATCCTCCTGTAACCTGAGGACCTATTTCACCTTCCTCTGTTCAGAAGCACATTAACATTTCCTTGTATCTTTGCAGTACTCTCATCTCAGCCTGAACAGATATTTAAGCGTCATCTCCAAAAGGAATACTACTCCTCCTAAATCAATAGGAGGGAAAAGAGATTGCTTTAAACGTCAAATACTCCAAATTCTTGATGTGTTGCTCCCCTTATTATCTTCTCCACAGTGTCACCCCTGAGTCCCTGCACTCTGACATCTTCAGTGTTTTGTTTCCCCGCATTTCCTTCCTGGGGCTTTATTTGTCAAGATTGCTTCCTGACTCAAGGTCATTCCTCCTCATTCAACCTCCTCTCCTCGACGTATCGATGCCAGTAGAGCCATGGTTCTTGGCCGCCAAAGCAAAATCGATATCCCTGAGCGCTCGGCGCTTGTGCTCTAATATCCTCCAAACACCACCTGCCAAAATATTTATGCTGTATTCATGGGAGATGCTTAGAGAGAGACACGGAAGAACAAGGAAAGACACAGCCGGTGGCTTGGTCAGATCTTAAATAGAACACTGTGCTCACATCACAACAGTTGTTGATTTATAGTTTATTGCGATGGAGGGTCAGTACACTGTAAATCCTAACAACACATCTTAACAAAAGAAGCAAGCTAACATAACGTAATCCTCCAGGTGTTGAAGTAATAGTGCGCGTTTTAAGTATTGATGATTTATATATTTTTATACCATTACAAAAACATAAGCCCCAATGCCCCAAAATTAATTGGCCACCGTTTCAATAATTGATTAATTATAAATTGTTTTTATTGTACGGCAGCTGTTTTGACAGGTGATGTAATAATCGGCTTTAGTGGAAGAAAACTACATTTAATTTAAGTGGTAACATTTGTACAAAGAAGATGCATTACTACTGTATTCAGATAAATAACACATTTAAAATAAGTTCGGAGAAATGATGCATATCAGTGTAATACTAGTTCAATTAACTGAATGAAATTGGTACAATTAACTTAATTTACCTTTAATTTAAGTTACCTTTACAATAAATACTTTCTACTCAAATCAAATATTTTTTCATGCTTAGGTTGGAGGTAATAAATTTAACAGTTTAAGGCAATCTGTTTCCTCAAACTTTGACCTGAACTAACTCATCTTGCTTTACAACTGAGTAACTGAGTTCAGTTTTTCTGTCTTTGCTCACGTTCGGTGAGAAGTGTGAATATTATTGATGTGTGGGTTATAGCTGGGCGAATCACCTCATGTGGAACCGGGCCTGTTTTCTTTTTCCACACTGGCGATGGCAGCCGCTCTGCTGATTGTTCTGTTTACCTAGAGACACAGAGAGTAATGAGAGTGGAAACGCTGGAGGGAACAAGCTCAGGCATGATTAAATGACAGCATTTGCTTCCAGAAGCCGAGCCCTCCTCTTGGTGCTGACCAGTGGTAGATGGAGGATGTTTGCCACAGGTGTTCGGCCCGGCAGCTTTCAGCCCGGCCAGATGGGCAGACAGAACAAATACAGCCCGTGTTAATCTCCAGTTGTCTTTTTGCCCTTGAGGCGAGTGTGTGTGACAGCCGTGTGTGTTTGTATGAGGCGTATTGATGGTTTGACCTCTTGACTTGATAAACTCCTCTGCACTTCATCCTCCTGCACAAACAAAAGCAAGGAACAAGGAGGTGGGGGGGCTTTGGTATTCTGGCGGCGCATGTCCCATTGTGTGGCTGACACATCGCGGCGGGAGGTATCAGAGGGCGCGCAGGGGGCAGCTGGGGTAGGCCTTAGTGGTTAACATGCAAATGAACGGTTTAATGGGTCTGAAAAGGTCACGTGGGTCGAGCTCTGTGATAATTCAGCGTCAGATTACAGCATCATCAGTGTGTGTGTGTGTGGGTGTTTGTGGGTGGCTGGTCAGCGTTGCAGCTGCACCTTTTCCTCGCGCCACATTGTCAGAAAGGCCGCTAAGTGGCTGCTGCCTCGAAACCCTGCAAACCTCGTCTGTTGTACATCAATCAGGCACGCTGAAAGAATCGCAACAGACAGAGAGGCCAAAAAAGAAAATCCAAGGGACTGGAGCTAAGGACAGACAGAGCGAATAAAGAGCCAAAGAACAAATGATGAGGATGGTGAGAGGTGGGCCTGATGCTGTGGGTGGGCAGGTTGTTTGGGGACAATCAATTTTGTATGATATCTTTTTTTATTTTATTGATATGCACCCTGGGGAGGTAAATGCCATCATGGCCCGCGCTGTGGATGTCTGCTTTGGTGGATGATTGATTGGTCTGGCATTTGATCCTCTGGTTCACAGTGAAGGATTGGGTGAGGTGGAGTCATGAGAGCACCCACGGCCGCCCTCCCCTCCGTTCCCCACCCCGTGTATCCCGCTTAGCCCCTCCTCTCTGCTCCTTCTATCATTTTATCTACACTGTAAAAAAAAATGTCTGTAGATTTTACGGTGGAAAACTGTGACAGTAAAAGACTGTAAACTCTGAATCGGTTTCTGTAACAGTAAAACACAGCGTTATCTATTTATGCTGCATTTTAAAGGAATTTATGAATAAATCAGTTTTTTTTATATTACAGACTGTAAATTATACAGAAAACCATCGTAATAGTATTCATATGGTATTACGCATGTGGCGAAACTGTTTATGAAATGTATTTATATGGTAAAATATGAAATCAACAGTACTAATATCCTTTTACCATAATAGATACTGAAGAACTTTTTCAACTATTTCAGTAGATTATGTTTTATTACAGTAAAATAACTTCTTCTTCTTTTTTTACAGTGCATTCCTATCTCTCACTGTCTTGTTTGCCTCTTAAAAACCTCGGTGAAGTGTGGTTTTGTGAGGCTTAAAGGTTTTGTTCGGGGTTCTGTTGTGCTGAAAACCACATAAACGGCTAAAAACGTCCACCTGTTAGGCGCCACCATCAACTGCCTGTGGTTTTGATTCCCTCTGCCCTCATCTCCCTGTATTATAATGAAATGTTAACGTAACGCAGCTTCCAGCCTTTAATTTGCTAAGTAATCCAAGGAGCACAGAACCATTCATATTTCAGTCGACGCTATTTAATTAACTACTGAACACATGTGTAACATTCATTTAATGATGTGCAAGACACACAAGCAATAAAGGAGCAAGACAGACAGACAGAGACTGAGAGAATACATCAATCTCATGTTTAATTTTCTATTTTAATACGGCACTCAATGCATATGAAATCTATATTCTCTCGGTGAATGAAGGAGGCACAAATGGCATATATGAATTAAAGACTCCACTGCGAAAGGACAGGGAGAATATGAGAGCTGTAATTGGATATCTGTGAATTAATTTGCTCAGTGAACATACTATGAATCACATCAGGTCATAAAACCCAGATGGAGCAGAGGGAGGATTGGCACAAGGTGGTGGAGGCAGATATTTAACATATCAGAGTGCAGTGATGCTTTCAGTGGTCTGCGCTGCCACCATGTGGAGAGAAAAGGCTCGACAGAGAGCAGGGAGAGCCATGAGTAGATAACAGTGATTTATCCTGAAGTGCTTTAAAGTGAGCTCCCCAAAGTGGGCCAAATATTCTACCTTTCAAATTAAAGTAGCTTTTCAAACTATTAATCAAAGCTGGATAAATATTAGAACCGATTTCTTCTCCCCATAGGGAGGAACGTGCAGAATACTCTTCGGGAGAAACTTAGTGTGCATGAACATGTGAAACCTGACCACCGCTTGAACATGCCTATTGATGAAACTCCATTTCCTGGTGGGAGACTCAGTGTAAAAGAATGCAGAGTGGGAGAGAAGCCTGGAGTCGCTCCTATCACTGCCACCTCCTATAACCAAATTTATGAAGACATTTCTTTGGCGCGCTCTACATAAATGTCAGTATTATAATCCTCAATAATCCCCACCAAGAGGGTGATGGAGGATGTATGTGACAGGCAGAACTGTACCTTTTCCTGCGGACAGGAGACATTTTTCATCCAAGAGCAGGATCACAAGAATGTTTCTGTATGTTTCAGCAGCCATGCATCAATGTGAAGAATGTAGTGGAATCTAAAAGAGGATCCATGCTCATTAATTATGTCCCAGTGCCCTGTGCAATGTTAGAACAGCACAGGGAAAGAGATGTAATCAACCCTGTGTCAGTCTCCTCAGAAAGCCTCGTTTCATTGTCTGAGTTTTGTAATATGACGTCTTCAGAGCTAACAGACAACAGAAGTTAAAATAATGCTCTCATAGCTTGAGCCTGTGCAAAAGTGCTCTCCTTCATTATTTCTCTGTTCTTATGTGTGTTTTAAATTCAAGCCGGGGCAGAGGGGGACCTATGAATGTGTAGGAAGCATTATTAGCTGGAATTATAGTGAAAAGCTTCTTGTCTGCTACAGAGTAACCTCTGAAAGCAGCTACATTACAGGAATGCTTCCAAGCAATGAAAACAGGAAGTGAAAGCACTGTAATCATTTTAATAATAATAATAATAATTATAATTATTGTTAATAATAATAGTAGTAGTATAGAAAATAAAATACAAGCAGTATGTTTCGTGTTTTAATATTGTGTATATAAGAAACATACATAATAACAACAACAACAAGATGAATACAAATAAATACATTTCTGGCTATATTACAATGTGTGAAAGTAATTTCTCTTATTAAAAACGATACTTTAATTAAATGAAACAATTCACATAAATATCCGAATACTTTATTTTCTGAAAGTAACGGGAAACACAAGTTATTGAAGCGGAACCCTTGTGTTGTTTCAGTCGGACTCATTTGAAGGTCGCACACAACATGGAGGACCTGCAGAGCAGACAGGCGTGATAAGAGAGGATAAAAATAAGATTGTAATATTAGTGTAAGGTCTGGTGTTGTCCGCACTGGGCGCCATTGTTCCTCCGCTCAGAGATGACTCAGGTGTTCAGGTAAAGTCCGGAAGACAAAACGACGTCATTAACACAACGTCATTGACACACTCGTCATACATGTGTCATCTGTCTTATTGAACACGAGCTCTTCACTGTTTGCCTCTCAGATGTGTCTGTCAGTTACCATGGAAACATTCAGTCAGATTATAATGGAAGATTCAAATCAGTGACTGTCAGCGTTAGAGGGAAACTTCCTGTGAAAGGTCCTTGAAAGGTCCTTGAAAGGTCCTTGAATCTGATTTGTGGGAACCCTGATGTGATGGCTGATGGCTGATGGCTGACGGCGGTCCTTGTGTGAAAGGTGTTCGTGATAACGTCTCCGTCCTCCTCTCAGCTGCAGGGAACATGTTTCGCCCCCGGCCGTGTCGGTGGCTGCGTCCTGGAGCTCGGGTTGTTTCCTGGAGGAGCGCCCATAAACTGGCTTCACTCCAGAAAGTCAGAGCGCTTCCCCCGAACAAAGTCCAGAGCTTGCTGTACCCCTTTAGTGATCTGGAGGGCTACCTGGACAGGTACTACCCCTGACATTTATTCTCCAGGACACATGATTGTGTGTGTGTGTGTGTGTGTGTGTGTGTGTGTGTGTGTGTGCTCTTTCATTGCCTGAATTTGGGAGTTTTTGATGGTTGGAATGACATTTTCAGGTCCGTGGACAGGACGCCGTTCCAGCTCTTTCATCCCGGTTTGGAGGACGTGATGAAAGCGGAAAGGCTCTTCTGTTCTTCTCCGTCTCATAAGATTGATTACCAAACCTCTGCAGTGAGGATGGACCACTTACCTGCACTCAAACCGCCTGAGGTTGGTCATGTTCACTGCTACCAACATTTTATTATGTTTATCTGAAGAAAGTGAGTCAGTTCAGTAACTGCACTGAATCCGTTCGTTTATGTCCCTGTACAGAGAGTCTGTGGGGGGGGGGCATTGTTATTAGGGCTGCACCATTATGGCCAAAATGATAATCACAATTATTTTGATCAATACTGAGATCACAATTACAGAGCACTGCTTACTTCAAAATAAAAGTCCACTCATGTTTTGCCGGTTAAATGCTTTTAATGTGAAGCTGCAGCAGTAGTAAATGTTCAGCTTTCATCAGCAGGAATAGTAAGTAATAAAAAGTAATATTTCATCACTTGTTACTGGTTATTTTAATTTAATTAAAGGAATATGATTCTTACTATACATTAACAGTAACTGTACAAAATAAAGATGTAAGTTATGGTAAATTATGCACGGACAAAGAACCGCAGGGTTGTGTGGCAAATAAATTCAACCTTCCTTTAGTTAACTCTCGAGGAAATGATGTAATCTATGAAGATGCTGCGTTGATCAGTCACACATTCCTGGTAGATTATTCTGTAAGACGAATCTTTCTCCAGTTGACCTCACTAATGCGGTCTGTCTCACAGTGCTGTGCAGTGTGTTGGCATCTGTTCCTCCGACTGGACTTCCCGCATCGTATTTCACGTCTCTCCGGTAACCTGAAGCAAAACAATCCCGTCAACGAAGCCCAGAGTGTTGTTTCCATTCGGGGCTGTTTTCGGTCTGAGCGCTCCCTAAAGGCTACAGGTAGCTGGAGAGAGAGTACGCTGCAGTTTAAATTATTCATGATTCTGCACCGGGCGTGGTAACACAGAGGGGTCTTTGTCGAGGGAGCTTTGCATGCTGGGACAGACAGTGGACGACCGTGCCACCAGATCTTTACGTCTCATACAGTTTCTCTTTCGTCTCATCCTGAAAACCTTCTCCACTTTACAGTCAGATTGTGTAACAACTTGGAGAAGTAAATGGAATCTGCTGATGTAAAATGTATGAGCGGAGGGTGTTTTCCTTTTAAGTCACTTCTCATTCTCTCTTTGTTCAGCCATGAGCAGAAGTCCTTGTGGATGTTGTATCACTGTCAGACCGAACTTTTTCACCCTGCAGGAGTTCATGATTGTAGTGCCACGAAAAAGTCTGCAGCGTTAAACCCACTCCCAGAATAATCTAACTGACCCTCGCCCGGCTGTAAACTATGGTTGAAAAGATGGAGATATCCATTTAATCACCAACTATTCTGATAATCCATTAATCGTTTTTTTTTAAGAAAAAATGTATTTATATATGTTATATATTGTTTCTAGCACGTGTTTAGGGTCGGTACGCGGTATCAGCTGATATGCAAAATTCAGGTATTAGGAAGTAAAAAGGTGGAACATCTCCAGTAAACTGAGGTTTTGAAGACAATAGAGGACATGACCTCCCATTTTTCACCACTAAACTGACCAAACAACTAATCGATGAATGGAGAATGATGGACAGTGGTTTGTTACTGCAGCCCTAAAGATGAAGCACTGTAGGAGGAAGAGGAGGTGTATGTAAGTGAGGGTGTTCACATTGCCCTTCCTCGACCCGAAACACGGACACTGTAAATGAGAACTGTAGCGCAGTGTCTTTGCACCCTCCTGCAGCCTCATACATAATTAAGCACCAGTTGACACTTGATAATAAATGAGCAGATTTATAACCTTTATGGACAGTAGTGTTCACCGGGGAAGGGGGGGGACATTGTGTTGATTGGACAACGGGGGTCTCTTTGGCATGCAGAGTCAGTTCCCGCTCTGCCTCTCCGCTCTGTCAGGCGATGATGTATTCGTGGCTTACTGGCAGCGTTGGCCTCCGTCCATCTGTCTTGTGTCGGCGAGATGGATGAGCCGGCGCCGTGTCCTGTGGGAGTTGGCGGTCGTTGGTACCGCGCTCAGAGCAGGTGTGCCGGTTCGCTGAGACGTTTAAAGGAAGATAATCCAGCATAAACTCACACAGATCATTGAGTTACCATCCAGAAGGTCCGAGCATTAACACAGTAACGGAGAAAGTGACGATGGAGCAACCCGTGTGTGTTCTCAGGTGTGTTTCATCGGCAGGAGCAACGTGGGCAAGTCGTCTCTCATCAAAGCTCTGTTCTCCCTGACGCCTGAGATAGAAGTCCGAGTCTCCAAAACTCCAGTGAGTGGTTTTAACTGACATACATAGAGTGACTGTTCCAGTGACTGGAATATAATCACATCGCATTACACTGAATTTAGTTCTTCACTTACACCACCATTGTAGCAGCGATCAGCTAATCAGTCTATATGTAAATTAAATCAACAGTATCTGATTACAAATCCATTTAAAATGATTAGGATTTGTGTTCAGAGTGTAACCTCTCCTCAGAGATTGTGTCTCTCTCTCTTTCTGTTCCCACCTCAGGGTCACACAAAGAAGATGAACTTCTTCAGAGTGGGCACAGCTTTCACCGTCGTTGACATGCCAGGATATGGATACAAAGCACCCAAAGACTTTGTGGATATGGTGGAGCCGTACCTTTACTCACGGAAAAAGTGAGAAAAGTAGTAGTGCGTATTTACACTGGAGTCACAATGAGAACACAGAGCCCTTGTACACACATGATGGATGTCTGGAGGGCCAAAGTAAGACTCTCGTTAACCGTCTGTGTTGTAATAAATACAGAAAGTTGATTGTTCCCGACCATATGAATTAGACTCCTACTGCAGAGGCTGGAAAAGACAGCTCCTGTCCTGATTTTGGTCCTTTGGGAGGTAAAATTCATTCATGATGCCAAAAACAATGTGTTTAATTCGATGTGCGCTCAGTCAGAAAGATGCATTACTGTTTATCTGGCTGTGGTATTATATTAATATTGATAATTAGTTCGAAATGAATTTCCTACAATAAATCAACTGGTTACACTGCAACAACAGCCCTACTAGAAACAAGCCAAATATTCCTAAATATAATCAATTCTTTTTATATTGAGCATAAAATATCTGCCAATGCGGTAAGACAGTTTTGATTGGCTAGAATTCTTAAAACTAGCAAAAAGATCTGGCTACTGATAGACAGTAATGAACCATAAAACTAGAAAAAATGCCCCAAATTTAAGCAAGTTGTGCTTGTTACAAGCAATAAAAACTCAGTGGACTTCGAAGGATCTGTGTCTTATTGTAAAAAAAGTTCTGCTAATTAACAAATTCTTAAATTCAGCTCAACAAACAGCAGAATAATAATCAGTGACTTTGTCTTAAATGAAGGCACCAGAAACATTTTCTTATTAGAACAATGAAAAACTAAACAGCTGCTTCATTTCCAACAGTGGGTCCAGTCGACTTTCTCTTAAACTGAGAAGTTGTGTGAGTGCTCTCACTCTGAAAATAAGAAGAAAATAATCTGGTTCCTCTGCTGGGATATTAAACAAACCATTGTTGTTCCTGGTTAAATTGAGCTCAGTATTAGCTGTAATATCTTATTGTGACAAAATTAGATATAATTTCTTAAAACCAGATTATTTTTTTAATGCAAAACATGCTTGACAAGATTATTTTTCTTTTTGGACTACAACAAGTCTTTGTTACTTTCTTAAGATTCCTGTTTTTACAAAGATTTACACATCATAACAAACCACTCAGTAGATATTGATATCAACCATCCAACACTTATCAGAAACATTCACTGGGCCAACAAATGATAGAACATTAAGTTCATTGGTCATTTCTGATAATTATGGGTTTTTTTTTCAAGTAGGCTGTGCCGATAAGAACATCTCAAAAGCAGTGCTTCCATATCATATTTCATATTATACTCAGTGCATAACAGTGAAACAGTGAACACAGAAACTGCAGGAGGTTTGTGTAAAACCAGAAACTTGGAGGAGTTTTGAGAAGATTATTTCCTGTGAAATTTGTGAACTTTTTTTACAATTCAGTCTGTATTATTTTCTCATCGTCTGTTTTTTTTAAATCATTTTTGATAGCCATACTTAATAGGTTCTTTTGTCAAATGTAGTGTTTTCCTCTAATTGTTCTGTCAGCTCTTTGGTTGTTTTCTAATGCAGGAGGCTGTTTATCAGAGACTGAAGCTCTGTGAATATAGTTTGTGTTCAGGTCTTCAACGTTTAGATCTTAAATCATTTTATAGTTTTTTGCACATAAATGTATTCCTGGACAACGGCATCTGTGTGCAAATATATTCCATAGTTACAGTGTGAGATCTTCTAGTTAGCACTACCAACCTGGTCCACCAGGTGGTGCTGTGTAACTGCACTGTCATTTACAATTTATTTGTGTTTTTCAACTACTTTAGACATGATGAACTAAACTCTTTGAGTGTGTATCCACCTGAGAGGAAAGCTGTAATGCTGGTTACTGGCCCAATCTTCTGCACCTGAAGAACCTCTGTTCTTATTTTTATGACCGTGGAAGATGCTGAAAACTCTCCCATCCATCTGTTTGTTTGCAATCTTTCAGTCTGGTGAGGACGTTCCTGTTGGTCGATGGCAGTGTCGGTCTTCAGAGTGCTGACATGGTCGCCCTGGAGATGTGCGAGGAGATGACGCGTCCATATGTGGTAGGACGCACGCACTCTTTCTTCTTATCCTGCCTGTTTACTTGGAAATATATTTATATATTAAGTTCTCAGCTCGAAAGCAGAATGAATGGAAAACACTAAAGGAAGACTATTATCCATATCCCAAATACAGATTGTATTTATTTTATCCATGCAATCACAGTCGTTGGATGAATGACTCAATAGCCGACCCTTGTGCTTACTATTTATTTAAGTGCAATTTAAATGTATTAATTTGGTTGTTTTCTTTCTTTTCACATTCCAAAAGCTGAATATGTTAAGAATTAAAAGTTAATCGCTATTTGAAAGGGTGCACTTACATTATTATGCCTATAATTACAGTGGCATTAAATTGTCTTACAATGCTTAAAATACCTAAAAAGCTTGTAGCCTGTATCTTGGTAAGACACCATCTCAAGTTCTGAGTTCTGATTGTTACAATAAATATTTTTCTTCTACAGCTGTAAAAGCTGTTCAGACTGATGGTCGCAACCAGGACATTTGAATACATAACTTGCTGACATTTTATAGACTGAACAATAATCCATAAATAAAATAAATTAGTATCATGCATTGTTACCTCAACCCTGAAACGTTTGCATAAATGCTGTATCACAGGACATCCGCTATGATTCTGTGTGTGTGGCATGTTGAGACTTGCATGTTAGAAGCTCTGCAGACCACACTGTGGCAGTGAGTTAGAACATACAGTACATGCCTGTTAAAAAACAAAGCCACACCACCAACATCTGCTGTGCCACACAGACCACACAGAGCCCCACCGAGCTGAACAACAAGCCAGTATCTGACAAAGTGTGAGAAAACAAATCAGCATGCATGATGCATATATATATATATATATATATATATATATATATATATAGCTGAAAGTGACTGTGTGTGAGAAACAGCAGACTGTACATGCTGGATGATACGCAGGGTGCTAGAGGTGGCAACGCTAACCAGCTTTTACCCCTCCTTCCCACATTGGACTCATTCTTACAAATCCTCATCATTATGTCCACACTGAATTAATGCTGAACGCTCTCACTCAGCTATTTAAAAACTGCTGTCCCCTCTGAAACGCCACCGCTGAGACATTATAATGAAGCACCCCCACTCTCTACGCACTCCGCAGTCAATTATTCATGCTCTCAGGTTATTAAACACTTTGATCATTATTAAGGCTGTGACAGCGCAGCTTTTAATAAAGATGAACTCTCTGTGCTGAAAGGCAAAGGGAGCCGTGAGCTCAATGGGTCAGCTTTAAACATAAAGTTGTTGCTTTGCTGTTAGGGATGAGGTGCAGTACACGATTAACATCGGTTCAGAGTTCCTACACTCTCCTTTTTTAAATTTGGGGAAATTGCAGCTTTAGTCCAATACAGTCTGTCTGAAGCCTGAATGTGTGCATTGTGCACGGAGGTAGAGTTGTGATGTTGTTGTTGGGATTTTGTTTTGCAGATGCTGGTGACTAAGATCGACAAATGTGGGCACGGAGCCCTGCTGACAAACCTACTGAATGTTCAGGATGTGGTTAAAACACAGACCATGAGCTGCTTCCCCCAGCCGTTCCTGATCAGGTGAGAGTCACACTTTTATACTTGTCCTTTATGCAACTTACCGTCAACAAATCTCATAAAAACATCAACGGTGAAGTGAACCTTCCCAAGCCCCGGCCCTTTCTGTGCTCCAGTAACAGCTGAGTAAGCCTCGGTCAACTTTCTTCTTTCCTAGACGTGCTAGGCTAATCTGTGTTTAAAAGTAAAGCACAATATGAAGATGGTTTAAAGATAAAAGCAACATATATATCCTAAGTTAGCTAATGTTTGTGTGTGTGTGCAAAATGTTCACTAACTAACGATGTTAGTTACATTTTTCTGACATTAGCTAGCTAATTTAACACTTGACACTTTTATAACAAAATGTATGTGATCAGAAAGAACAAATAGACTCGGGCAGATGGAGTGGCGCAGCGCTTTAGATATTGCACTTGGCTGTATTGTAATTTTGCGTAATTGTGTGGCCCTAATTGCATCCATCCTTTCTTTTGTCCCTCTCTTTCTCTTTGCACAACAGCTCCCTCCAGTTTCAGGGAATCTACCTCCTGAGGTGCTTCATTGCCCACGTAACAGGGAGCATCAGGTTAACGGACACTTCCCAAAGCTGACCAGAGGCCAGCTTAGCATAACTGAGTGGAACTGGGAGTTTGCTGAACACATTGCCAGGTCTAGACAGCTGATGGGGAAACGTTTATTTTCTAATAAAATGTAAAACACTTTGTGGGTTTGGCTGGTTGTCCTTGTTATAGTTACATATTACCTGACTGTTAGTCAGCAGAACTACGTGGACAGAGAGACAGGACTTTGCTTTAAACAGAGTGGAGAGGAAGAAGCTTAATTGTTACAGTATACAGCGTCTGTCACTCCATTCATTTATCTTTAATATCACAACTAACGATATTGGAACTTTCTGAGAGTTTGGGGTGTTTTTCATTGATCTGAACAAATCTCTGCTGTCTGGCAGAGGAATTCAAAACATAAATATCAATTCAATATTAAAATGAAATGCCAGTTCATACAATTTCCTCAACAACGCTGTGACCGTGTTTATTTTAATGGCTTTCACTTTTATTGTTTTATCATATTGTGTAATCACTTGCAGTGCAACAGTTTATTATAATTCTTATGAACCAGATAACATGCCCTCAGCTCACCCATCCCATTGTTGAACACTGCATATACATACATTAGAAACAATGGAAGTTATAGAGATGAATCAAAATGAGATATTCACTGTATAAAAACACCTGCATGGTGAACCCACAGAGAGCTATAACAGCAGTCTCCTTCAGCTCTATGGAGAGTTTAGTCTCTTTCAGCTCATTGTTTTTGTTGGGTTTCCTCTCACTCTTCAGCTGCTCTAACATATAGACATTTGGTATTTGTATGCATGTATGAAAGTGTGTTGTGTATTCGTAAATGCGTACGATGAATGTGCAGCTATGTGTGAGGAGGAGAGACAACATATAAATAAATGATGATAAAATATAGAAATAGAAAATTTTAAAAATTAGAAAGTGTCAAAATACAAACAAAGACATACTAGATATTTAAATATAATTTCCTCATTGAAATCTATAAAAAGATTCTTGATTAAGCAGCTTTTACTTGTAATTTTAAGTGACACTAACTTAGTTTTCTAAGTTACAGAAAGTACAAATAAAGAACAGTACACATAAAACGTGTGTCACTTAAAATTATTAAAGCTACTTGATCAAGAGTGGGGGTTTTTTTAACTCTCAAAATGAAGTTAGTTTTACTTAATATAAAATTATTAAATTTAAATTAATCATTCGTCATATGAACTCAGAGTTCTCACACATCCTGGAAAACCTGGAGAAGCTGGAAATTTAGAGATTAGTTCAGTCATGAAAACACACAAATTGAATAAAATGAGCAAATATCCTGGAAGTAATCTATGTTGTCCTGGAAATGTTTGTTTGTATGTTTGTATGGTATTTTAACCCCTCATTAACCTCGCCTACGTAAGCTTTCGTATTCTGTGTGAAGTGACTGTTGGTTGGTTAAACTCTACGACTCTTCAAAACAGGTTTACCAGATACAAAGTGGAACTGACTGCAGCGACCATTTCGGCACTGAGTCTATTTTTTCCAGAGCTGCGAGCAAAATTCTCATATACACAGCCTATTAATGATCAAATGTCTTGTTGCTGTGGTCGATAAATACATGCACAGTGATGTTAAATGTTCATGCAATAAACACTTTTACTTTTGTGTTTATTGCAAGTTGAATTTTCTGTAAAATAAAACTAATTCTCATTTGAACTGTTACTTATAGGCTGTGGTCAAATGAATGTAGTCAATCTGCCCGAAACGGCACCTTATATGATTGTTTCTTATAGTGCAAGTGCGACAATACAGTGCAGTCCTGTATTGTCAAGAAAAACTTCTGGAAAATGATTCGTTGCAATTGAGCCTACCATAATGAGAGACGCCGTTCAGCATGGGTCAGTTAAAAATGGAACATCTCACACAATGCCGGTTTTTGTGAGTAATTTGTTGTATACAGACACATGTTCACAGAATTTGGCCGTGTGCTGTAGTGTCTGCAGAGAACAACGAGGGTGGAAGCTTCAAAATGCACAGCAGATCAGCAGGCATGCAGTCGTAAACTTTTTTATAGAAGTTACTTGGCAAGGGTCAAGGTCACATTCTGAAAGTTTCATTGATCCTCTTCCTTTTGTCTCTCCCAGTCCTCTTGGGACAGTTTCTCAAACGCGTCTTATCTTCGTTTCCTTATTTTACATTTGAGCACAAAGACAGTGACATAAAATATGGACATATCAAATTAGATTGTTATCTGCAATCAGATCGCCTAAGATAATGACCATGACACGACATGACACAGACCTTTAACACACTCGTTCACACACACTGGGAGCAGAGCTTAGAAATTTACTGTGGCCTGAACGAAGGACAAGTCAGATGGAAAGAAGATAAAAGCTGATGGGGCAGATAAAGACTGATAAGACACCCTCTGAAGAGCTACTTTATGTATTTCACTGTCCCCTTCCTCATACCACATCACTGATTGACACATACAGATAGAATGACACTGCACACACCTTTACAGTTTGTGGGACACGAACAGGAACGTGAATCACTGCAGGAAGCTTCCTTTGTCATGAATGCCCTTGAAAATGAATGTGAATTTTAATAAATATCCAACGTTTACAACATTAAAGATCCCCTCCAGACATGTGTTAAGACATACAAATGAAGTCCGCGTGGAACAATCATGTAATTATGTTTTTTCTTCCAAAAAAAGTATAATTTCCACATAAAAAAATCTATGAAAAGATTCTTGATTAAGCTTTCACTTGTAATTTTTAAGGGACACTAACTTAGTTTTCTAAGTTAAAGAAACATTCCTGACTAAGAACTTTTCAATAGGTATTTTGTTTTTACAGTACGAATACATTACTAGTTACTTGATCAATAATGTTTTTTAACTTTAATTCAGTTAATTTTACTTAAAATTTTAGACGTAATCAATTTCAACAGTTTTTTGAATAGTTAAATGAACTTGTCTGGTTTTACAGGGTAATATGCATTTTTCACTATCTTCTTACATTTTATTGACTAAACTATTAATTGATTAATCATGAAAATAATCTGCATATTAATCAACAATGAAATATTGTTAGTTGCAGCCCTGTAACAAGTACTCAATACATATTTTCCTGTATTGTAACCACGCTGAAGGTTTACATTTTTACAGTATTTTACTTACTGACATCTTTTAGCTAAAGCTATTTAACATATTTTGTTCATTATTTTGTGTATGTTATATTTGACTTAAATTTAAAAAAAGTAAAATTTCCACATTAAAATCTAAACATACTCGACTTGTTATACCTAGTTAAAAATTCCTGTTGGACACAAGATGTCGCCTACATTCTCAGTGTATGTGCACTGATGGCTTCAAGTTTCTACATCACACTTGTATAATTTCCATACTTGACCTCCAAACTATTTGTGATGTCACAAATAACGCTGGTAGGCCCCGCCCCTTAAAATCAGATTTTCTGTGAGCTCAGAGAAACTTTCCACTTTCAGCAGATGAATGAAAACATCCTTCTAGTGTCAAACTCTGCACAGACATCATTCAAACATCAAACTGTAGGAACAAGAAGAAACACAGATTTTTGAGTGGAGAGGGACTTTAATAGCATTAATGTTATCCATTATTTTTTAAAGTACAAAAGGTGTGAACAGACTGTGAATGGTTTTCATGATTCTCTCTGTTCTTCACATAAAGTTTACATCAACAGCTTGTTGCTAACCCTTCCTGGTGTCGGTTTACTGTTACTAGCAGTGTTTGACCTTCACTGTGCCGAGTCTGACAGCAGAAAGGTTCTCCGTGCTCGCCTTAAATCTCAGTTGAACATGTGTGTGCGTAGGCACGAGATTATTTTGTGACTCCACAGCCATCTCAATATGGTCCAATAAAACTTTTAATGAGGTAATTCAAGTTTTTATGTGGACAAAGTATATCACGGACAAATGATTATTCCAAGCAGAGAATTTATACTATACTATAACATGTCTGTAGAACATGTCTGTAAGTTGGACTGAAGCTGCAGTAGCTAACTTTTATAAAAAAATAAAAAAAATAAAGTTTTTGTTATATTGGCTGTAACTTTCTCGACTGTATATCCTGACACTACTGGTTGTTTTTGTTCGGGCCCAGTGGATTCTTGTAAATGTTGTTAGGAACACTAGGGGGAACCAGAGGAACCTGATTCTTTCACAGATTATCTGTCTCATGTTCTGCTGTCAGGATACAGTGAAAGATTCAGCAAATATGACAAGAAATATTTTTATGAAAATGACCTACTGCAGCTTTAATGTCAGACACCAGACCCTAAACACTGAATTAGTTAGTCAACAAAATGCATCAATCAGTGGCTTCCCTACCTCTTTCTGCTTCTGTTAAACTTTGACCAAAATGCCAGTGCTTTTACACACAATGTTCACAATGAACCTGTCTGCCACACAGGCTTCTTCATTCTTTGGATTTGACTGATGTGTTAGGTCTTTTCTACCTTTTCTAAAACTATTTGTAGCATCAGAGCACTCTTTGTTTCTTTGTCTTTCCTGATAACGCATCAGACATTTTGACAGCTGGTTCATTTTATTAAGTGAGCAAACAGCCTCTTCTTTATCCACGATTGTTCAATCCAAAATGCTTCCCGACATTACTTTTCTGAAGTTTTGGGTCATGATTCACTGCAGATAGACCCTTCTCGCAGGGGTGTGTCCAGACTGGGCTCCGTTTTAATGCAAGAGTTAAGATACTGGTATCATATAAAACCAGATGACCTAACCATCCCATTTTCATTCAGATATCTTAAGCTGTGACCTAAAGATATCGAGGGATTCCTTTGAAAATGGCCATACCAAAATGTTGCCTAACTTTGGAGATGGAAAAAATGGCATGGCAATTTTCAAAGGGACCTTTAGGGTCAGAGCTTACCACATCTAAATTAAAATGGGTTCAATGTTTACCCACGAGTTTCCCCTTTGCAGACATGCAAAGACCTGCAGTTCTTTGCTTGTTGTATAAACGTGTATTCAACATTCACAAAATTATAATTTCATAACACTTAACAATTAAACTCTCACATTCGACAGTGATATAGTCTACAAAGCATTATAATGATATAGAGAGAGTACAGTGCTAACATTGATTGTTAGCACTGAACATAGCAGTCGAGCAAGACTTCTGCTGTGGTACAGAAACACCACTTAAAACCACGGACAGAACTGCACTACACCTCAACTGGTATAATAATAATGCCATAGCATTAGCATAGCATTTTGGAATCTTGGGTGTGTCCCCCCAAATATATATTCATTACTGCCTTATCTCAAAATCAATGTGGCACAGTCTCAACAAGTCTTTTATGTGTCATAAAGGTCTTGTACTGTATATTGCAGGTATATATTTTATTGTACAGCTGACATTACTGCTTTTATTGTGTCCACTCGATTTTATTGCATATGCTCTCCATCGCTCAGACTGCAGACACACCATTATTTCATATTATTTCAGCAACACACTGACTTGAGCAATTTTTATTTGTCGGACAAAATATGTAAGGCATTCTTTGTGGTGTTGACTGGTTGTCCTTTAACTTCACAGTTAAGCATTACCCCTTCCAAATGGAAACAAACACAAAGTCTTCACTCAGCTCTTGGGAAGGTAAGAACAACACAATTTAGTAATTTTTAAGTTCGAATGTTAAGAAAGAAATTTTAATTTATTTAAATTATTGAGCCAAGTAGTTTTTTCCTCTAGTCTAACAGACGCGTGCAAGCAAACGTTTTAACTGTAACTCTCGTGAACTCCTTGACTTTGTGCAAACTCAAGTACATCAAAGCCACAGAGAACAAGCTGTAGAACATTATGATGTAACTGAATAAAGACGCTTTAACGTTTTTATTGTTTCCAACTTGGCATGTGCAACATGTGCCTATAAAACATATTCACGCCCACCTTTTTATGTTTTATTGTTTTACAACTTTGAATTAGGGTAGGATATAATTAAGAGTTTTTGACACTTGACACAAAATTTGAAAGATTTAAATGCCCCAAAGGAAACAAATCTCTACCAACCTTTAAATGAAATGCAAATGTAAAATATTAAATAATGGACTGCATAAGTATTCACCCTCTTCAAGTCAATATTTAACAGATGCAGCTTTATGAGAAATGACAGCCTATGTGTGAGGCTATGTGAATAGGTCTAGCCTATATTGGACTATAGTTTTTACCTATTATTCTTCCCAAAACTGATCAAGTTAACAGCAAATTTTACTACAAATCTTGAAGTCTGGACTCAGACTCGCATTTAAATAAAACATTTTAAAATAAATTTTCACCTAAAAAAACAAACAGACTGATTGGGGAATCACATGGGCAACCGTTGTTGTATGTAGCTCTTCCATCTCAACCATTGAACCCTCACACATACTGTATCGTTTTTGGATATTTACAGCTCTGAGGGATATAGTGCCTTGGGAATTCCGTGCATGCTTCCCATCAAATTTGTTGCAAATTATTTGGATTTTTCTTTTTACTTCACTTTTGCCACAAAAAATTATATCCAGCTATCCAGTGTCAGAGTATTCCTGAACAATCATGTATTCCTTGTTTTATGTTTAACTTTAGATCAGTTGTAAAGATTATAATTGGCATTTAAGACTTTTTCCGAAAATCTTTATTGCATCCACTGTGTGATTTGACGTTTAACAAATGATAAAAATGGGCAGATTTTTATTGCCATTGTGCAAAGAATACCTTGTGCATTCATGGGGTTTCTGACTATGAGAACTGCAAGCATCTTCCCTCCTTACTGGCAGTGAAGGATGATGATGCTGCATAGCATAGCTGTCCAATAAAGTTTTAAGAGGCCAAAGGGCAATAAAAGGTGGCGCTATGGTCCAATCACATTACACATTTCAGAATGACTTTTTTATAAGCTTGTGCTTCTGAACACTGACCCCATAAAACATTAAGTATTGGTTAATTTTTTATTTGTTTTACCTGATTTTTACCCTCCCTATTTTATTTGGCTGTGGCAGGGTAGGCATAAAGGGCAGGAGCTGACGGTTCCTCTCACTGTCGCCATCATCTTCTTGGATATCGGAGAAGGAGAAACTGGAGTTGGAATCTAATAATTACAAGCTCTAAGGAAACTCTCCTCCAGTCTTCTCTCAAATTGGAAGCCGCTGATCATCCTCTCCTTCTCCCAGTACATTGTCCACAATGGCGACAACTGCCGTGCCCACTGGCTGCGACCCTCTTAGCACAGTCTGCTCAGGCTCAAACTGCCTTGTTCCCGTCAGTGACTTTAATGCAGTACTGGGCCTGGTGTTGAGCACAGTGCTCACCGTCATGCTCGCTATGGTCATGTTCTCCATGGGTTGCACGGTGGATGCCAGTAAGCTGTGGGGCCACATCAAGAAGCCCTGGGGCATCATCATCGGCTTCCTCTGCCAGTTTGGCATCATGCCTTTCACGGCCTTCGCCTTGTCACTGGCCTTCAATGTGCTGCCTGTGCAGGCCGTCGTCATCATCATTATGGGCTGCTGTCCCGGAGGATCCGGCTCTAACATTATCTGCTACTGGCTGGACGGAGACATGGACCTGAGGTAGGAAACCAGCTGAGCCGGCTGGCTGGTTTTGCAGGCTCATTGGATAATCTAATGTTAGTTAATGATGTATTGTTTGGGCGTCTGAAAGCTAACAAGCTATTTAAAAACCCTGTCCACCTTAGACACTGGCGGTCCTCTTGTTAGTGAGTAAACTGTCTGGCAGGAGAAGCTGATTCTTGATCTCAGTTTAAAAGGAATTCTTTTCAGCACAACCCAGTTATACAGTATATAGCCATGTTTCTAGAGAGTAGTGTGGCTTTTCTCTAGCAGAATAAAGTAAACAACCAATTATATATCAGAGTTTTCACAAATTAAGTGTTTCATTTATCTATATTTTGACTATTTACATTGCAAAAATTAATTTATATACTCAGCAATATGTTTAGTGAGTCCCCTGTAGGCTGAAATATATGATCAATGTCTCCACATAGGACCAAAATGTGTGTGTCCATGTGGGTTGCTAATGAGGCCATCTTGGAGTACAAGTGGAGACCATGTGAGGAATCATTCTCAGGGATTTTTTTTGTGTCACACTGTGTACAGTATGGCCTTATGATTGGGCCCGAATAGGCCCTTATGAGCAAATCCCCAAGTGGGATATCTGTTGATTGGGCGACTCAGTTGCAGTTTTTAAATATCACAGACCATCTTCATATTTTTGTCATTAAAGAAACTTGTCTGACCAAAACTGTCCATATTCTCCTGTCCGCAGTATCAGTATGACAGCCTGTTCCTCTATCTTGGCCTTGGGGATGATGCCTCTCTGTCTGCTCATTTACACCTCCGTCTGGACTTCCTCCAACACCATCCAGATCCCATATGACAGTATCGGTAAGTAGACAACTAATGGTTGATTACTCGTCCACAAAACTACAAAAATATGCAAGGCAAGGCTGTTTTATTTATAATATTTTATGGTGATAAAATGCTGATTTTGTTATTGCTGATTTGTAATTTATGTCGATTAAAGTCGATTAGAGTCGATTAAAACACCAAGGTTCCTAGCCTCCAAGAGAGCATCAACCTTGAGCCTTTCCTCCTTGCACTCAAATAAAATTACCCCTGTTTTTTCTGTATTTACAGCCAATTATTTATTTGCTCAATACATTTGCATAGTGAGTCAATAGGACTTTAGTAGTTTGGTAACAGCTAGGTAAATTTGGGTGTCATCGGCATAGCTGTGATAAGCGAGGGTTTTTTAAGGTTGCAGCCAAGTGGGAGCATTTACAGGTTAAACAGAAGGGGCCCCAGAATCGATCCTTGTAGGACACCACAGGTCAAGGGCATGTGCTTTGAATTATGGTTCCCAATGGTGACAAAATAATCCCTGCCCTCCAAATACGAGCTCAGACATTTTAAAGCCAGCCCACTTTTCCAGTCTATGTGAAAATATACTGTGATCTAAAAGCAGAAAAATGTATGTCTTCCCTAGATAATTAGGAGACCGAACGTAATTTAAAATCTTTATAAGACTCTTTTTTCTGCTGTGATGGGCACAAGAGCCTGATAGAAATTGATTAAAATAATCATTTAAATTAATCAAGAATTATAGACGGTTGAATTGGGTGGTTTATTTGAATGCTTCCATGTCTGTTGTTTCATTGTATTATATAATCACGTTGTACTATACAGATTTATTATAATCCTACTGCATGAGCTGATATGAAATCTGTGTTTCCCCAGGTATCACTCTAGTGTCTCTTCTTATCCCAATCGTTCTGGGAATGTATGTCAAACGCAAGTGGCCCAACGTGGCGAAAAAGATCCTCAAGGTAGGAATCCTCTGCAATGTCTCGCTTACTAAGGTTATGTTTGTGAATCTGATATTTGATAAAGGGATCGGTTATGGCTTTATCCAATAAAAACTGTCTGTGTGTCTGCTGTGCACAGGTTGGTTCCTTTGCAGGCTTTGCTCTCATTATCATCATAGCTGTGGTTGGTGGCATTCTCTACCAGTCCTCCTGGAACATTGCTCCCTCCCTGTGGATCATTGGAACCGTCTACCCCTTTATTGGTTTCGGCCTGGGGTTTTTCATGGCCCGCTTTGCAGGTCAACCCTGGAACAGGTAGGGTGACAGCATTGTTTTAATGTTAACAATTCATTTTTATAAGTCATGAAACTACATACACTAATAAATGTACCTACTTATGAGGTTATCATTCCCTGCTTTGTTTAGGTGTCGAACCATCGCATTGGAGACTGGTTTCCAGAACTCCCAGCTGTGCAGCACCATCGTCCAGCTCTCCTTCAGCCCTGCTGAGCTGGAGGTCATGTTCGCATTCCCTCTCATCTACAGCATCTTCCAGCTAGTGGTGGCAGTCATATCTGTCGGAGGTGAGTTAAGCGCCATCCGTTATCTACAACCAAAAGAATGTAGGTGAACATATAAGCTGTCTCCCCCCTTCATAAGGCTACTAACACAGTTAAAGCGAGACACTACAGGCACAAACATTGCTTTTTCTTCAATGTTGAGATTTTTGGTTATTTCGCTGTCTACTTTCGGACTAGCCTGGCAGAAAACACCTAAATGTGTATTTTGGGTGTTTTACTTACGTACACCAAACCTTCCAGTTTATTCCTGTTCCATATTGTGAAGGTTTTTACAAAAGGTTTTGTTCATAAATCATTCATAGCTTGATTTATATCACATTTTATGTCTATAACATGGCAAAAATTCTGGGCCTGAAATCTCCACTTCAGCAGCACTTTCATGGTGATATCTATTAGTTTAAAATATTCTATTCGTCTGTAGTGTCTCCCCTTAAACCAAAGGTTTCAGTGGAGAGATTTCAAGGGAAATGTTTTGTGGACAACTCCCTTCAACTATTGCATTGTTTATCACCCCTGTAAAGAGTTTCCAGTTTCTAGTTTTCCCAAACAAGAATAATAAACTGACAGAAAAGGTTTAATGACACATGACACATGCATATAAAGATGACTGATCATCATTTCTGAACCTGCTTTTTCCTCCACAGGCTACCAGATATATAAAAAGTCATGCAGCCGTGGTTCAGCTGACGGCGACAGCGAGGTTCCGTCTCTGGAAGCTGGCGACGGCGAACCAGCAAAAGAGAAGCAGTACGTTATAGACAACAGCGCCTTTGAGTTTGATGAGGTCGTCGGCAGCGCAGAGAAAGATAAGAACATTAACAAGAACACCCAGCTGTGAGAACAGACTTTGAACCACTGGATGATGAACAGCCAAACTCAACTGTGAACACACACTGCACTCTGCAGGCCGGAGGTGTGCACCCAAACTGTGGCCAAAAATCTACTCGAAGGCGGGGGGGTGGGGCAGTGACTTACACGCTGCATTGCATTACTGTATGTTGAACTGTGTTGTATTAGCAGTAAGATATGAGGCCCTCCTTTCATTAATTTATTCATACATAATTATTTAAAACCACTTTACGCTGTATGTCCTGTCAGAAATCCTGTTGTTCCCATGTTCCTTGATCAACACATTTACTCATGTCCTCTTTACATGTCTACATGATTCTAACTGAGTATTTACTGCTGTTTATGTGGATTAATCATACGTCCACATACAGATATTTAACGAGGGAACAGTTCCAGTTCACAGTTTATCCGATAAGACACAGAGTTGTGTGCACATCAGAGAGCCAATGTTGTCAAATCCACTGAGTATAATGCTTTTATGTTCAAATAGGTATTTTTTTAAATCCTTATTCTCTATACTGATGTAGCAGATGAAATCAGTGGTTATTACAGACCAGCTTTGGCTCTTGGGTGATCTTCTGTTTGGTGTTCTCTGCTGTTTCGGGTTCCTTTCAGTTCTTCTATACCTCATTTTTACAAGTGGATAAATAGAATAAAGGGTCCTTTTAAAAAAAAGAGGACGGGGCGTCACGTTTTGAGACTCGTAAGACGCTCAGTTATTCTGAGCACAGCTGATTAACATTAGCATTTTTAAATATGTAAGCTAGTGGTTTGGCCTATCTGTCCGAACGGAAGAAACGGGGATATACAGGAATAATCCCAGTATATTTATGATACATATTCACACACAAACTAATTTATTAGTGGTCTGTATTGTGCAAATGCAACAAACACAGAATGCAAAGGCATATTTCATAATGAGTGATTGCTTTTTGTTTTTCATGGATGTACAGAAACAAAATATTTTACAAAACTGCCTTCCTATTTAGCTCGAGGTTTTATAAATGTGCTTTCTGAAATAATGTATTTTCTCAAAAAACCTGTACATTTTTGTTTATTATGTTGAAATAATAGATGTTTTGATAAGAATATGAGCATTCATCTCAATAAACATATTATTTGTAAACTGTCTTTATGCTGTATGTGTTTATTTGATATATGAGAATATTTTATATTATTATTATATTATATTATTATTATTATATTTTTAAATGTTGTCTCCTATAGTAATTGTGTGGACACTTGGAGGACAGTGGACAGGTTAGAGATGATGGACAAACAGGATAAACCAGTGTGTGACACAGATGGTTGAGTGGATAGATGGAGAGCAGGGTATCATTTGTTGGTTTTTTAATAGTTTATTTGGGTGCTGAACAAAGGACGACATCATACAGTAATAAAGTAGAATAAGCAAATCAAATTCAAGATTCATAAATCAATGAATCAACAAAGGCAATAACAAAAACAGAATTTCTGGAAGGGTTCAGCAGTGTAACGCTCCTTTAGCAGCAAATGTTAAGCAAGCCTCAAACAACCAAACATGAACTTCAAGTGTCATAAAGAAAGTGGTCCAGTCTTGTTTCTTCCACTTAAGAAATATCACCAGAATCAAAAGCATATTATCTTTTCAGGATCTGTGAAAAGTAATCTACACTTTTGTTTCCTTACGGCTTTAATTATTGCGATTCACTGCTTCCACCCTGAGTCGTTGTAGGTACCGGCCAATCTACAGTGGTTATCCATCAAATGTAGAATGCTACAAACTGTTTTATAAGCACTTAATCCTGTAATATCCTCTGTGTAGTTTTAACTGCTTTTCATACTGTTATTTACTGTTTTACCCTTTAATGTTTTCATATTGCTATTCCTGTTTTAACTTTCTAATAATTGCACTTTACAGAACCTTGTAACTCTTAATAAGGCGCTTTATAAATAAAGTTTATAGGTAATAAACAGCTTTTAACTATATAGTCATTGCTGACTGTACTTGTGTTTGTTTGGTGTCTGGTAGATCTGTTATGAGGTTGCAAGTGCTGCACCACCGTCACTGTGTGCAGCCTGAGCACGAGAGTTCAGGCCTCAGCCACGAAGGGCAGACTCTGAACGCAGTTGTCCACATAAATGGTGTCCACCACCTCCTTGTCACTGTCGGGATGCTCTCTATGGTTCCTCTGCTGCGTGTCGATTGCATAACATCGGCCGCACGTGGCACCAAACGGGAGAACCTGCCATTCTTAAGCGGTAGGCTCCACGGGATGGAGGAGGACAGCCAGGACAGAGGGGCCAAAGGCCGGTCCGGGCAGGAGGGACTCATTCAAGCACTGGTCTTTATACTGAAATGGGAATGCAGTGAATTCTTTGTGTTAAGGTAGTTATTTTCAGCCAATTATTTCACAACTTTAATCATTTATTTATACCCCTCAGAAAAAATATTAAGGTTCAGACCTGCTGGACCTCAGTGGTGGGTATGGCCATGCTCAACAGAGGTGGCGGCACTCAGTAATAAGTAAGGGTACTCATGGACAAAAATCAGAAGTGCCAGTACTCAGTATCGGCCTTGACAACCTGTAACAGCAGTAAAATGTTAGCATTTACAGAGCACGTAGCCCAGTACAAGGTCAGAACATATTGCTATCCAATCGTAAAATAATCCCATTTCATTCTTTATGTTCAAAGTCCAAACTGGGACAGCAAAAGCACGTCCACAGTGACAAAACTACACAATATAAGTGCTGTCATGTGATAATAAAGGCGTTCAGCTGTCTTTGACATAACCTTAAGTGCTGAGCCAGACATACAGTTCAGAGAGAGCTCAACCATCACCCTTCCTCCCATCCCTTCCACACACTCGCCCCTCCTCTTCTATGCACTCAAGAAGCTGCCTTCACTTACCGTTGGAAATACTGTGAATTCTCCACTACGATTGCAAAAAAAGATCTATTTCCTCATTTTCATACTAGTAAGGAAATACATTAATCATTTATTTAGACTGCTGACTGAGACTGTGTGTGTGTGTGTGTGTGTGTGTGTGTGTGTGTGTGTGTGTGTGTGTGTGTGTGTGTGTGTGTGTATGCTGGGTTTGATTAAAAGCTCTCTGAGAAAGTCTTTTTAAAGTTTTTAATTAGTCACTAAACAAGTTGACAGTAAATAGTAGTACAGCTAATGGAATATAAAAAAAGTCAGTCTTTGTGTGATATCCCATAGCTCTGCCCCAACCAAAGCTAACTAGTAAAGAACTTAAAGAAACTTTACAAAAAGCCTATCAATAATTTACATGATAATTCAAAATAAATTACGATTACGATTCTCTATTTGACCTTTCCTTACCTTTTACATTTTACAAGGAAGTCATTAAGATCAAAAATCTATTTTACAAGAGAGACCTGGTCAAGTTAGCAGCCGTATAAAATCACAACATATTATTATTACTGTGTATAATGTATGAGCTGTAATTCAACCGGCGGATAATCTAGAATAATATCAATTTCTCATTAATGGACAATCATTTATCTGCCCCGATAATTATCTTGCATCCCAATTAGCACATTAGGTCCAACTTTATTTGTCTTTATTTAAGTTCAGTAACAGGTAGTTTTGCAAACTACAAAGGAAACACGTTGGCTAACTGACAATAATAAGAATTCATATCATTCAAGATCCCTGTTAGAAATGATCTAACGCTCTCACAGTAATTAGCCTTAAACCTTTGTCAGCAAATATGTAGCACAGATTACATGTTAATAACCAGCACATTCATCAGAAATATGGTGCCCCAAATATTAAATATATGTTAGCAATCAGTATCTTTATTTATTATTCTTAGCTTTTTGAATGACTAACTAATTAATTTCTTACTGAATCAAATTATTAATATTGCAAGCCCACTCATCTGTCCCACTTTAGTCTTAAACTAAACGCTACTTTATATTTTTATGTTATAATTTTGTAACATAATCTTATCTTAAATATTAATGTCATTCTACGTAATTCTATTAAAAAAAAAAAAAAAAAAAACATTTCGACATATTTATATTTTGTAACTTTCCACTCTTGCAGTGTTAGATCCACAGTTAGGTTTCACAGCATTCCAAAGACGCTGTTTACGAGCAGTCTTTGAACGCATCATCAGCACCAGAGAGACAACAGCCGGAGAGAGAGAGAGAGAGGAGCGGGGGGGATCTCGTAAGTAACAAATCATTCTTTTACGGCAAGTTTTTCCCGATATAAACTGCTAAATCACTCTATTTCAGGGTTGGACAACACTTTGGCACTCATACATTAACCCGTGTTGTGTTCTGCTCGCACCAAATGGGACCACAATCGGCAAAGAAGCTGAAAAGTTCCCGTCCTCATTTCCTCTTTTTCAACTTTACCGTTATTATCTTCCCTCATTTGTTCGCGCTGTAACTCATCAGAGTGAGACACTGAGAGATGTGACTGTAAAGTTTATTACTTACTTAGTTTCATGATCATATCAAGTCAATTCCTAAAGTTACCCGTCGTTGATGTCCCCCGGAGTGTGAACCGTAAATGAACGGACTGCTCCTGAAGTGGTTGTCATGCCATCACGAGCCGTGGACGAACAGATAACGGTTAGTTAATAAGAAAATGTTAATAGTTAGATTAGTTAGATTAGTTAGTCACTATTATCTAACGTTATAACTTGTTTCTAACTAAGATAGTTGTGATGTTAAAGGTCCACTGTGTATATTTGGGATGACCTTTAAAGCTGCAGTCCGTCATTTTTAGAAAGATACTTTTTGTTGAAACTTTCCCTCCATCCTGACAGCCCAACATGAGACGGGTCATCTGTGGGAAAACCCGGGTTCCTCTGGCCCCGCCCGGGTACTCTGGCCTTCCCAAATCCCCGCTCCCCTTTTGGGGGAAGCAGCTCCTCTGATTTGACTGGCGGCAAAAATATGAACATTTCAAGGTCTTTGCCTATTTAATAACATAAAATAAGAATACCGTATCTCTCTTTAGCTGTTTGGAGCCAAAATCCTACAACCATCAACAATCAAGAAAAAATAAAGAAATAGGGTCTGCCTCATTCAGATTTACCGGCATTGGTAAACAAGAGAGACAAAAAAGTGCTGACTCCCATACAGTCTGTTTCCATTCCTCCATTATTTATAGTCTTTCGGTCTTTAGGGGTGCACCGATCGACAGATTCAAAGGGTTTCATTTAGATTAACCAAAGGTGTGAAGGCTGGTTGCCGTAAATCTTTGGCTGCCATATAAAAGAAAGTAAAAAGTAGGAGCTGAAATTTAAACTGTTCGGGAGAAGCAGCACAGTTAGAGAGTATTTCCCGTCAGGAATTAAAGGCCTGTCCCGAATAGACGCCTGTCCCTAATAAAGGCTGAGTGATTTTCAGTGATTTAAGCAAATAAATGGGCTGTTATTAGAAGTTTTTATGGGAAGTTATCAAGATCATAGAAACAACACACCAAAAAAATATACAACACAACAATGAATGCCACATTGAAAGCTTGATTTTAGTGACTTAAACATGGTCGGATCAGTAAAGTCTCAGATGTGTTTGTAGAGAGAGGGGGCGTGGCTATGGAGAGTGCTCCGTCGCCCAAAGTACAGACGCTTGGTCCGGATTGGTGGAGACCGGGTGTTGGCGTGGAAGGGGTGTGGCAGTGGGGGGGGGGTTTGTGAGCAAGGAGAAGGACTTTAAATTGGATCCGTTGTGGGACAGGGAGCCAGTGGAGGACAGGGGACAGACAGTCCTGGTGATTGGGCTGACGTGGTGTTCAAAGGAGTGGTTGCTGTCAGTGGCGGGGGAGCAGTTGTGGTTGTGTCTGATTGTGTCACAGCCGAGTTTGAGGAAGCATGCCTCCATGATTTGGTTTCAGAGAGGGCTGTAGTGGAGATGGATTTAGTGGAGATCATTAGTAGAGCATTAACTAAAGCAATATAACTGAACTTAGAGTGTATAGAAAAGGCACTTGTTTGTGTGCCGTGGTATATTTTTCCCACACTCCTTCATCCTGCTGTGGTAAACTGAGATCAACTGTCTGCCACTGCGGTCTGCATTCAGAAGACTTTGTCGCTGCAGCAGCAGGTTTCTGTGTCGGAGTAACCAACATTTAAAAACCTGTCTTCATCATTTCAACATTCAAAAACAGGACCAGTAACTCTGAACAAGCAGGTAAAAAAAACACCAGAGGAAACAACCTGTTCTGTGAAGCTTCCACAACAAGAACAAACAAGTTTAAGCAAGCACTACAGACAAATTAAAAGCCATAATATAATGTCCAAAAGGGTATAAAAGGTATTTATCCCCAAGCCTCTTCTCCAAGGTCCTCAGTTAACCCGAGCAAACGGTTCTCCAGGAGGCAGAACCAGCCTGTTTCAGCTTCTCAGTGACGTATCAGGACACCAAAAAGCTTCCACATCAGTCGGGTTTCGTTGACTGCCAGGCTTTACTGAAATGTGTTACTATAGATAGATAGATAGACTTTATTAATCCCCGGAGGGAAATTGGGTCGTCATAGCAGCTAGGTACATTAAGATACAATAAAATACAATAGAATAAAATACTTAGAATAAAACACAACAATAGAATAAAATACTTAGAAAAGATAAAAAAAGATAAATAGAGTTGTAGTTGCAAGATGGTGGTAATATACTGATGACATGATGGCAGTGTTATAATGATAATATTAATAATATTTATAATAATATAATAATAATAATATGTATATATAATATGATGACTGACAGAGGGACCAGAAGAACAGACACATGCAGTTTCTACCACTGACTCCTTGTCATAACAGTTTCACAAAGGTTGATTATTGTATGAGATTACACCAAATCAAAGATAAGCTATCAGATCATTCAAGTGAATGTTATATCAATGTACGTCCAATCTTCTGGTCTTTCATTGCTGAATTCCTTTCCTGTTTGTAAAGAGATTTTTCTTTTTATCTCTAATAGCAAACTAAACAAAAATATCTCTTTATAGAGTAACACCTTGTGTTTGGACAGGGCTGAGCTAGCTGTGTTACTGCAGGGTCACAACCTCCGAGCTGTTTGCTCATGTGACCCTTTGATAAGATGTGAAGGTGAAAGAGAGAGAGAGGTGGATAGTTTGTGGCCTGGTCACAGATACAGTGACGTGGAAAATTACTGTGTTGAATTGGGAAACTGTGAAATATACTTGTTGCAGTGAGTCATCGGTTTCCTCAATGAACGTTTCTTTCTCTGACAGCTGAGTCAATCATCATAAATCTGTAATGTCTTCTTTGTTAAGGTCAAATTTGACGACACAGAGCTGCTGTTGGCGTTGTGTTTTAATCGCTGTGGTCTAGTTGAGAGTTGGGAAGTGTTTTAGAGCTGCAATAATTAGTCCATTGATTTTTTTAAATATGTAAATATATACTTTATTTCGATGTTAAATTCGATAAGAAACCGATTTTACTGATACAAAAATGTAATTTTTCGAATCAATGTTAATTTTTACATTTTGCATTTAAAGGCAAATCACATACGCACAATATGAGTACAATTAGATAAAAATGTTTGCACAGAAATGTCTTGTTTCATAATAAATGAAACCAAAAAAAAGACGTTTTTTATTGTGATTAAATTTCTTGGAAAACCTTGAAATGATTCATATCCTTAAATTTGTACAACCTAAGCTTAAAGGTTCTATAAGTGGATAAACACTTTAAATTGAGTCATTTTTTATCAGATTTTAGTAAATAAAATTAAAAAAAGTCCACCCAGGAGGTCAGTTTTTTGAGGTTTAAAGCTATGCTACTGTGATATTGTTATTAATGCTTCACAATCAATTAAAATAAAATGTATGTTTTCTTCAACACCACAACTAATTGTGTTGTATTATTTTACGTGATCAGAAAAGCCAGATTAAGAACTAAGAAAGTGATCGTGATGATTGTAGTTGGCATTGCCACCTGCACAAGAACATTTTGTTGCTACAGAGTTCCTCCCCAGAGCTTCCCAGTCTTTGTATGGCGGTGTGTTTCCCTGCTGACACCGGGGCCTGTCGGGTGCTGTGTGAGTCACAGTCCCAGCTGAGCACCCTTAGGAGCCAAGCTCTCCACAGCCATGACAACTAACGCTGTCCCACTAACACGCAGTGGCTCGTGCCATTGTAGGAGGCTGCAACAGACGCAGAGGCTATCAGGTGTCGTCAGAGGTGGAAGAATAGCAGATCATCCATGTCCAGTCCTCACAGAGATCCCAGAGCACCTGACTGTCATTATCTCTGCAGGATTGTGGTTTTCCCCTGGAAGCTCTGCGATGGTTGTACGTGGTGGATTTCAGCCACAGGATGTTTTGGAGAAGCAGTAACACGCTTATAACACATCGGCTGACGTTACAGTAGGAAAGCAGTCAGTCAGTAGTTGATGCAGACCTCGTGTCCAGATGGTGATCATCAGACTAACTTACAGTAAACCTGCGTGCCTGTGCTGCTGTTTTTCTGCTTGTGCTGTTGCTTTTTCTGTCGCACATCCCCACTGGAGTGACCGGCTGGGCTGTTCTCCACCACCTACCCAACTTTTATTTCACGATTAGAGAGCAGGGTGCTAATTCCCCCCCCCCTCGTGTTTCGCCAGTTGAATGCTTTTAATGTGAAGCAGCAGCAGTAGGAAATGTTTGAGTACCGTGAGCAGTAACTTAATACAGCAATTTCTGCTGGGGATAATAGCATCCAGGCTGCACTTACAGGCTGTGTGTGCAGCGACAGCGACAAGACAGCTCCCCAGGAGTGAAACCATCTCAGTCACCTGTGTATTTTTTTTTAAATATATCATAATATTACGAGAATAAAGTCATAATATTAGGTCTACAAGAATAAAGTCGTAATATTACGAGAATAAAGTCATAATATTAGGTCTACAAGAATAAAGTCATAATTTTACGAGAATAAAGTCATAACATTGCGAGAATAAAGTCGTAATATTTATTTAACATTACAAGAATAAAGTTGTAATATTACGAGAATAAAGTCATAATATTAGGGTCTACAAGAATAAAGTCATAATATTACGAGAATGAAGTCATAATATTAGGTCTACAAGATATTAGGTCTACAAGAATAAAGTCATAATATTACGAAAATAAAGTCGTAATATTACGAGAATAAAGTCATAATATTAGGTCTACAAGAATAAAGTCGTAATGTTACGAGAATAAAGTCATAATATTAGGTCTACAAGAATAAAGTCGTAATATTACGAAAATAAAGTCGTAATATTTATTTAACATTACGAGAATAAAGTCGTAATATTACGAGAACAAAGTCATAATATTAGGTCTACAAGAATAATGTCGCAATATTACGAGAATAAAGTAGTAACATTACAAGATAAAGTCTAATATTATGAGAATAAAGTCATAATATTAGGTCTACAAGAATAAAGTCATAATATTACGAAAATAAAGTCGTAATATTACGAGAATAAAGTCATAATATTAGGTCTACAAGAATAAAGTCGTAATATTACGAGAATAAAGTCATAATATTAGGTCTACAAGAATAAAGTCGTAATATTACGAAAATAAAGTCGTAATATTTATTTAACATTACGAGAATAAAGTCGTAATATTACGAAAATAAAGTCGTAATATTACGAGAATAAAGTCATAATATTAGGTCTACAAGAATAAAGTCGTAATGTTACGAGAATAAAGTCATAATATTAGGTCTACAAGAATAAAGTCGTAATATTACGAAAATAAAGTCGTAATATTTATTTAACATTACGAGAATAAAGTCGTAATATTACGAAAATAAAGTCGTAATATTACGAGAATAAAGTCATAATATTAGGTCTACAAGAATAAAGTCGTAATGTTACGAGAATAAAGTCATAATATTAGGTCTACAAGAATAAAGTCGTAATGTTACGAGAATAAAGTCGTAACATTACAAGAATAAAGTCGTAATATTACGAGAATAAAGTCATAATATTAGGTCTACAAGATTAAAGTCGTAATATTACGAAAATAAAGTCGTAATATTTATTTAACATTACGAGAATAAAGTCGTAATATTACGAGAATAAAGTCATAATATTAGGTCTACAAGAATAAAGTCGTAATATTACGAAAATAAAGTCGTAATATTACGAGAATAAAGTCATAATATTAGGTCTACAAGAATAAAGTCGTAATATTTATTTAACATTACGAGAATAAAGTCGTAATATTACGAAAATAAAGTCATAATATTAGGTCTACAAGAATAAAGTCGTAATATTTATTTAACATTACGAGAATAAAGTCGTAATATTAGGTCTACAAGAATAAAGTCGTAATATTTATTTAACATTACGAGAATAAAGTCGTAATATTACGAAAATAAAGTCGTAATATTACGAGAATAAAGTCATAATATTAGGTCTACAAGAATAAAGTCGTAATATTTATTTAACATTACGAGAATAAAGTCATAATATTATGAGAATAAAGTCATAATATTAGGTCTACAAGAATAAAGTCGTAATATTTATTTAACATTACGAGAATAAAGTCATAACATTACGAGAATAAAGTCGTAATATTACGAGAATAAAGTCATAATATTAGGTCTACAAGAATAAAGTCGTAATATTTATTTAACATTACGAGAATAAAGTCGTAATATTACGAAAATAAAGTCATAACATTACGAGAATAAAGTCGTAACATTACGAGAATAAAGTCGTAATATAACGAGAATAAAGTCATAATATTAGGTCTACAAGAATAAAGTCATATTACGAGAATAAAGTCGTAACATTACGAGAATAAAGTCGTTCTACATGAAACTACTAAAATAATTTTATATTCCAAATTCATTCCAAGCATTAAATTATTTTCCATGTTCAACCAAAAACATTCAAGTACAGTGTGAGTATTTTCCCATAGTGCCTGAAGGAAGTTAGACATATTGGATTAGCAAAGTTTGTTTACATTTCAGTATGTCAAGAACATTAAAATTGTGAAAGAACATTTCAGACAATATTTTAACTTTGATGTTGTGTCTTTTAGAAAATGAATGTGGACGATGCCAATTATGAGTCAAAGTAGCCCCTGCCTGTGGACTCGGCTCCCCCAGAGCAGTCGGTCCCCATGTAACCGCTTCAAGCACGCCTGCTGCAGCTATGATGGAAATGTCTACGTCCTGGGAGGAAGAGACAACAGCTGTCTGAGGGACTTCTGGAGGTACAGCGTGGGTAAGGCCTGCATGCACGACTGTTGTTCCATTTATTTTAGTAGGATTTTTACTGCTGCATGTTTTAGATTAAAGCTGCAGTAGGTGATTTTTATAAAAATAACTTTTGGTTGTATTTGCTCTATTTGGTTATAACTTTTACTATATCCTGACAGTGTGACATGAGAGAGAAAATCTGTGATAAAATCAGATCAACAATCAACTATCCTCCAACTATCATCTTTCTCTGATCAGTTGTTTTCGTTCAGGCCCAGTGGATTCTGGCTAGGAAGAGCCACAGGACCCATTTTCATTCACAGATTATCTGTCTCATGTATACGACGGAGTATTAGGGCCAGACTTTTTTTTGGAAATTACGAGAATAAAGTCGTAATATTGTGAGAGAATAAAGTCATAATATTACGAGAATAATAGTAATTTTATGAGAACTGTCTGTTTAACGACAAAATGATCAATACGTTTACCTGTTGACTGTACGGTACGACTGAGACAAACAGCTGCCGGGCTCAGGCTGAGGCTGCTGTTTGGTTGAGCTGCTCACGTCAGATCTTGATATCTCTATCAAAGCTTTTTTTTTCTCATTAAAACAACTTATTTTCTTGCATTATTATTATTATTACATTATTCTTGTAATATTACGACTTTATTCTCGTAACATTACGACTTTTTTTTTTAATATTACGACTTTATTCTCGTAATATTATGACTTTATTCTTATAATATTACAACTTTATTCTCGTAATTTCCAACATTTTATTTATTTTTCCTCTTGGTATGGCCCTAATACTCCGTCGTATGTTCTGCTGTAAGGATATAGTGAAAGTTTCAGCACATATGAAAACAAACGTTTAACATAAATCACCTACTGCAGCTTTAATCATCTGTTGAATTTAAAACAACGTTGCATTATTATTACAGTATTTCATATGACGAATGATACACATAGAAAACTGCCCTGTATGATGCGCTCTGCTCTGCCGTGTTGCATGAAGCAGCGTGTGGTTGTCGGACCCCCGGCTAATCAAACCCATCATTGTGTGCGATTTTACAGTGCATGACGAGTGGACGGAGTTGAACTGCACCGGTGAATCTGCACCAGAAGAACTAGAGGAACATTCTATGGTGGCTCATGAGGTACAAACTCAGCAAAGATCAGTGGATGTCATTTACTTTAAATGCCATAAAAACATATGCATTATCTGACACTGCTTGGTGTGTCAGTGTGTGAATATGTTTCACAGCTTTGACCTTTTCAGGGTTTCTTCTACGTGTTTGGAGGCATGCTGGATTCTGCATACACCAAGTGGAGATGTCCCCTGTGGGTGTTTGACATTGGTGAGTTTCCCCCGTGTGTAATGTTGGCATCCAGTGTTAGGCTTTTGTGTGCAAATGGGACAGACGAAAACTTGTTGTTGCATGTTGATTCCAGCCTCACGCCTGCGAGCCTCTGTGGAAATATTCAGTACCTTTGTTCAGCTGTGCCATAAACCGCCTTTCATGAACTTTCAAATATGTGTTTGTTTCTCAGACCTTAAGCTTTTCTAAAAAAAAAAGGCATGGTTGGAACAAAAGAACAAAACAAAAGGTTGGAAAAGTCCGACGCCAACCGATAAACAAGAAGTAACATCATAAGAACATTTAATTTAATCATACAAAGCTGTGTCGGGAAGGAGTTTCTACTTGGAGCTGCAACATACTAACAGGACATGCATCCTGCCCTAAAAATACCACAACTTGTTGGTTCCTGTGTCTCTACCTTGTACAGCACAGCATTCAGTCTGTCTCAGTCATTAGATACCCAACGACCCGATATTGATTAATGCATCTAATTTTTCCATTGTGCAACATAAAAAAAGAGCTCTGCGATGTTTTGTAACAGGTTCCAGTTGTTCCCCGTGTTTGTGTTACAAATATAGGAGGCTCTTGCTCACCATTTCAAATCACCCTTAAGTACAGTCTGTATGTCTGGTTCAGCTTTAATATTTAAGCCATATTTCAACAGAGCTGTGGCCCAGAATATACCACAATGCTGAATTTAAAGTCTTAAATATGATTTTGACAGGTCATTTTCATTAGATTAATGAAGTTAACATCACTTGTATAAAGTTGTGTTTATGGGAAACGTTTGTATTGATCATGTGGTAAAACTACAGAATGCAAGACTTGCCAGTATAGACGTGAAATAGGTCTTGGATTGCATTCACAATGGTCTCAAAAAGTCAAAGAGTCCTGCAGGAACTCTGCACCGAAATATGTGAGATAATGATCCAAACTCTGCACAGAATACTGTAAGAGACCATGAAATCCTCTTATGTGGGTCTATAGTCAATAATGTGTTGCCATTTTTGGGGAGATTTTCTTTGGCCTTTCCAACTTTTTGAATGACATTCACTTACCATCATTATTTAATATACCATTTGTATCTAGCGTAATTTTACCTAAGCTCTACTTTATTCTCATTTCCCTTTGTTGTGTGTTTTTCAGCGAAGCAGAAGTGGGTGCACTGCCAGGGAAAGACGAGCTCCCCTCAGGTACACAGCGGCTTTCATATCAGATTTGAAGTAGTAACAGAGTTGCCAAGTTCCTTTGTCAGTATTCTTCTAAAGGATTAGATCCTCATTTAAACTGATAATAACGCGTTTTCGTGGAAATAATTACATGTTTTGCACTTGTTGTCGTGAGGCTTAACGAGGGAATGTGCTGTTCTCAGTTAGCAGGTGAACGAAAGCAACACACCTGCCATCAGGAATGTCTTTCCTGGGAATGTCCCTGTTTTATGTTTCAGCAGCTGGTGTTTTTTTTGGACTCAGTAGCAGAACAGTTGGCACCGTTATAACAGTGAATGCTAGGCTGCAGCTCAAACATCGTCATCAGAAAGACACATTCATTCCACTGATCAGTGCTTCACTGTTAATCTTCACAAATTCACAGACATGTTTGCATGAAAAATAACTTTAAATGACCATAATCATTACAGATGTTTGCATTTACATGGACAAAATGATACAACACAGTCAGTGAAATAAAGACAGAAAAACCAAAAGGCACAGGTACAGTTCAAAATGTGTATAAAAAACTAAAATGAAAATAAATGTTAAAAATCTTGGTGGTTATAATAATCCCATTTTTCCCAGTATGTATCCTCCCTTCTCGTATGCAGTCATTGTCTACGGAGGGAATAGAGTTGATTATGTTGAGAAGAAGGGCAATGGTGGGACGGTCTCTCTGGAGCCAGCAGTTTGTAATTGTTTGTAATTAAAGTCCAGAAGAATCTCTGAGACTAAATGACCCGCTCCACCCAGAAACGCTCAACATAGGGTCCAAAAGCTATGAGTGTCCAGCAGAGTGTTTTTGATCTATACTATATCACAAAATAAAATATCACAAAACAATATTTTTCAATATTTTCTTACCCACCTAGTTGAGACCCACTTCATTTGGATTTCTGGTTGACAGTAATAAAAAACAACTCAGTTTTTTCCAGCAGAAATCTCTCCAGCAGTTAGTGGAAGTAGATCTGGTTTCTCTTCAGACTCTATATTTATGAGCAGGCACTGAATTTCATATTGTTTGACAGCAAGAAGAACCCGAGTTCTGAGGAAGTCCAGACTTACTGAGTTTGGAGGCAATTCAAGTGGATTCTTTTCAACATGAAAGTCAGAAACGCCTCAGCTCCCTCAGCAGGGCCCGTTCAGGTGTACCCTGTACGCTGACGGCCCCCCCAAATCGAGACAGACATCAGATCTGGAATTCTGTAGGCGTGGAACCTAAACGAGACAAACACCAAAACATTAAAGACTGAAGAAAATATGAGAAACACAGCTGAAGATAGTTTTCAGTTGGTAGTTCCAGTAGAGCTCTAGCATGCCATCTTACAGACGTCTGTGTGTGTGTGTGTGTGTGTGTGTGTAGACCCAAATGCCCACCAACAGAAAGGGCCACAGTGCTGTGGTGGTTGGCTCTGCCATGCTGCTGTACGGAGGCTTCGTAGACATGAAAGGATCCTCGCAGGACTTTTGGAGTTTGGATTTTGGTGAGTTATTACGATATATTGTTCCTATTTACGCTGTATCATGCATTTTATCAGCCATTTCTGCAGAGAACACCCCACACCTTAAGTATGTGCATTCACTGTGTTTGTATGCATGACAGATACCATGGCTTGGTCCCTGCTGAATGATTCTCAGCAGGGCTCATTAGGCCCAGGCCCCAGACACAGTCACTCAGCCATCGCCTACCAGAGCTGCATGTACCTGTTCGGGGGCCTGAAAGGCTTGCGGGAGCAGAGAGACTTCTGGAGGTGGAATTCCTCCACCAACATATGGAGTTCCCTCAGAAACAAGTGAGTAGTGAGTCAGCTTGTCCTTTTGGGTGTTGTCTCGTGCCCACAGCTAAATAACACAACATGCTGTTTCTCTTACTCTGGCTAGATGATGGTTCTTTGAGAATGTCTACATCAGGAGCTCAGACAGACCATTGGCTCATCTTACACATTTAAACCTTTGAGTCCCTTTCTATCTGGATGGTTAACTCTCCTGACTTGATTTTAAAGTTATTTCCAATCTGTTATACAGAGCAAATGTCATTAGGAGTGCTACAACGAGGCAGAGGAACCGGATATTTTAACAGATTGTCTCTCTCATGTGCTACTGTCAGCATATTGTAAAAGTTCAAGCAAATATAACAAAACAATAATTAAAGAGTTCAATAATTAAGTGAGTACGTCAGATAAAAATGACTTACTGCAGCTTTAATGATATATGAAATCATAAAACATGCATTTTAGATGAATTAGATGTATAAACTTTGAAATAACACAAAACATTCGACATGTTGCTGCCATTAAATTGTCTCTATGCGTCCGGGTTAGAATCAGCTGTCCACTCCAGCGAACGTCACAAGCAGTTTGTCACAGCGCTTCATTGGGCCATGACCACATCTAACTGGTGGCAAACGAACTTGATCCTGTCAGGATAATACGGAGAATACACCTGCTGAACAGCCAGGGATCAGTTTTCAACTGGCTGTGCCGCACAGACACAGAGTGACAGTCAGCGACTAACAAAGCCCTCGAAGGATAGCTGGAGTGCTACCAGACTGGTGTTAGCTCAAACTAGTATTCTTATTATAATTAGATTGGGACTCGGTATCAGAATATACCTTACAGTAAGGGATAGTTCAGGTGTATTGTTGTCATATGGGTTACCATAATCAATAGAAATGACTTAGGGGTAGAAAATATCGTGTCCTTCCAATCCTGAGGTGTGTAGAGCGGTGGCTCTCAACTGGTCTCACCTTGGAACCCACATTTTCCCATTAAGTCACAACCCACTTTCATAGAATTCAAACCAGGCAAATGTATTTTTAAAAAGGCTTTTAAACACAAACAGAATGTCAGATTTTCATCCCTGTAATAAAAAACTGACTAACATTTAAAGCATTTAAAATAAAAAAATGGAAACACCTGAAAAATCCTGGAAATCATTGATCTTGTCCTGGAAGGTTTGAATTGTATTTTAGTTCCCCACTTCGCAGAACAAGTGCAAAACAGGATACATTCTACATTATTTGAACCATTATTCTGGGCTGTAGCTGTAATGTTATGCTGAGAGGACAACTGTAGTAAATTTGAGCCAAATCTCAGTGAAAACATCAGCTGTGATGAGAACAGCCAGGGGCGCCACGAAAGTCTGTCCCACAGAAAAGGCTGACCCCCTACCTGCAGTCAACACTAGGCTTACCGGGAAAATTACAGGACCGTGCTGTCCCGTATTGTCAAAAACTCCTGGAAAATGTCACGGAAAAGGATTTCTTAAAAAGGGTTTGAACCCTGTAACTTGGTGAGTGCAGTATAATTATTACAGATCGAAATGATGGATCATGGTCAAAAAACTATGTGGACTTAAACAACAGTTTCAGGAAATGACCTGTCCAGATGAGGACACACTTAACATCTGTACCTTTCTAATGTATAAGTATCACAGCTGGAGCTTTCTTACATAAAAAGGCAACACGCCAGCGCACACAGTATACATTGTTCTGTGTGTTCCTACCTGCTAACACCGCCTATGGTTTTCCTCAGGTCCGGCCCCTCCAGACTCATGGGTCACTCAGCCGTGGCCTACAAAAACGGTATGCTCCTTTTCGGGGGAGGCGAGAGCCAGAACTCTCCACAGAACTGCCTGTGGAGGTACAACTTCACCACGCAGACCTGGGGGCAGGTTGCCACACTCCCAGGAACTCCCAACCCCCCCGACAAGATTCACCACTGCTGCGTGGGGCTGGGTCCCAGCTACAAGTCCAACCCCGGTAGCCCCGACTCCAGCTCGGAACTCCAACCCAGGCTGCTGGATGGGAGGATGAGGCCCTTCAAAAACAAGTGCTTCCCCGCCCAGCTCACCTTCTTGGGATCGGAGGGAGGTATCGAGCTGGAGACCTTTGGCCCGGACCGGTGCTACGGTCACAAAACACTCACACAATCCTCAGAACTGGACAACAGCAAAGAGGCGTTGACGGGGAAAGATGCGCTCCGGATTGGAAACTGTCTGACCTTTGAAAACAAGGCTTTCAGGAAACAGTGGAGCTGCACAGACGAGGACCTCCTGGATGAGGAGGTCGGGGACGTAGGCCAGAACCTGCCTGATCTGCTGCTGGTGCTGGGGGGAAGACCCTGCTCCAGACACTGTCCTATCTCCATATGGCAGATGACTCTGACAGACTCGTAACAGCCTGAAGAACAAACCTTTTCTCTGAATCAGTGTTACATCGTCACCTAACCTTTGTTAGATCGTGTATATGTTTGAAGAGTTTACTGACACAAATATTTTTTATAATCCTGTTACTTTTGTAACTTGACTGTTGATGTTGTTATGCATTTATCACACACTTCCTACATGCAGAAATAAATTATCCGAAGCTGCAGTCATTAACAATTTCAGTAGTAGTATCACCTAAATTACACACGATGGCGCCAGAGCTCAGCGTTCGGCAGTCTAACAACCTTAATCTACCACTGACTGACTGAGTGACATATATTACAGATACTTCATATTATCTTCAACAATAACAGAACAACAGAAACTGCAGGAAGTTTGAGTGAAATTATGAATTTTGAGCAGATTATATATATATATATATTTTACTGATATTTTTATGAACTTTATATACAATTTTCTGTCTGTATTATATTTGTAACCACTGTTCTAACGTATGACCTATCACTGTTGGGGACATATGGGCCACAGTGCTGGGCTCGTGGAAGGCCAACTGAAAAGTGCTGTAAATGTTCTGCTGCCAGAAATACTAAAATAGCCCCCCCAAAAAAAGATGCACTTCCTGTTTGAGCTTACTGAAAAGTTTGTTGGTTTTGCTCTTTTAATTTGTCAGTGATAATAAAAAATATGAAAGAAGCCTTTATCCTTCATGGTTGTTAAAGGGACAGTTCACCCTAAAATAAAAACATCCCATATTTGCCCTTACCTGAAGTGTTATTTATGTGTACAGACTGTTTTACTGTTTGTTTTTGGGCTATCTAACGTTACAGCTCAGACAAGTAGATGTGTGCTTCCTGTTGCGTGGTGATACGTAGAAAGAAAATAGTTCCTACATGAAAGTGCACCACAAGGTCTGTGGATCCGACATCTCCAAAACCTTCCAAAACCTACACCCCACCCCCCCACCCCCCACCCCACCCCCCCCCCCCCCCGCCCCGCCCACCTGCTGATCATCAGCTGTCAAACACACTTTTTCCAATCAAGATGTCACCTCGCCGCTGTAAGAAGCCTGTGCTGACGTTGAGCCACGCGTGGTATGTTCTGTGCCTCGCTCCAGCTCTCTTTAAAGCCCAGTTAGCTCGTTTATCCGTCAGTTTGTCTTCCTGCCAGAGGAACTGTTGACTCCAGATCCTCCTGTCTGCCGGCTCTACACACCGCTTTTCCCACTGCAAGCCTCCCTAGAGTCCTGCTCAGCCCCAACGTCAGCCAGCCTCCGTACTCTAAGTAATAAAGAGCACTTACCAGTCTTGAGCCTGCCGTTGGGTTCAGCCTTTGAATCGTGACATAAAGCCTTTATGTCTGCACTGTCTCACCAGAGGAGATTCCACTGCCCTGTGCATTGTTTCAGAGATCTGCTGGAGTTTAAAATAAAGTCTGAAGACTGAATTTTAAATAAACCCTGACTCTCTGTTGACATTGGGTCATGTAAAACTAATCTAGGAGAACATGTGCTCTGTGGGTCCACCTGGAGGAAAGTAAACTAATCAGCTATTATGTAGCAGGCCTCTAATCCACCGCTGCTGCTTCGCCTCACTTCATTTGGCCTATTTACCCACATTACACACACACACACACACACAAACACACACACACACACACACACACACACACACACACACCTGCTCCTGAAAACTACCACAAATATTTCTACTGTGTGCACATACGGATCAGATCAGTCATTCAATTAGTTTTAAATCTCTTAAATATTGCAAAAATGTATCTGCGGCACACTACGGAGCCCCTTAAGGAACAGGGGGAGGACAAAAAATTGGTGCTAGTTTTTGTTTTCTCTTTTGTTTTCTGTCTGTTCTGTTTCCTGAATAATTATCATTCAAAAACGAAAATGTTTTATTTTTCCTTTTTCTGCTCGCTCCTCGTTCTACCATCATTCTGAATATGTCAGTCCCAGTGCCGTATTTAAAATGCACATGACTTCATGTTGCCTCTGTGTTACATACCCGTACCTTAATAACCCAATAAACAGACTTTACAACAACAAAAGGTGTTAGCATTAATGTCACAGTTCAACCCAACAGTGATTTTCCCTCTCACATCATTTCACTCTAAATAAATCAGTATTTCACAAGAAAAAAACAACTTGAGTTGATAAATTCATCGTTTTACAATATCTGTCAAAATAATGACAACGTGATGTTTGCACCACATTGTGCAGTTTGAATTCTGCCTGAATGACATCTGTTAGTACACTACACTATTACATAATATACACCTCCCCTGTATTGTACATATAGTCCATTTTAACATGCAAGAACAATCCGGCACTTTGTTATGCAACATATGGTATTATCATCTATTGACCTTTATTATCTATTACAGGACGCTCATTGTACAGTGTGTGTACAGTGTGTGTACAGTGTGTGCACAGTGTGTTGATGTGTGTGTACAGTGTATGTACAGTGTATGTACAGCGTATGCAGTGTGTAATGAGAGGTTTATATCGGTAGATGGCGCTATTTAGTCGTTAATCAGCATCATAACCGACCATAAACTCACTTGACTGAAGTTCCAACTTTAATTTATTACTTCACCCAAAAAAAAAAAATCATTTACATTTTTGACTTTAAATCTTTGTATTTTTGCATTTAATTAGAAGTTTTCTGTCTATAATTTGAAGGTTTTTGAGAACTGACTAACAGAGGCTGGAAGGGTCCGCTGTGTGTTTGAACATTAGTCTGGATCATGTTTAAGTTGCCAATATAAAGTTAGAATTTCATGATCAGCATCGAAACTATGAGCTCACATCAGAGTGACACAGGTCAGATAACCGTTCCCACAATAAAAGCTTGTTCTGTGAGCGGAGTGAACCGTGGCTCTGGAGACTTAATTCCCTGTGGCCATTTGGTAAAAAAAAAAAAAAACCACGTGGTTTCGACTCCTGTATAAAAACTTTGGGTGCGCGGAGCCCCTGTTGTCGTGATTGCAAAGGGAGAACAGGGTCTCAGTGAGCAGCATCTTGCGAGACGCACAGAGCTTGGCCATCCACAGCGGCGCGCACCGGACACGGTTACCCAGGCGCACACACAAAGACGCGGGACTCTCCGAGCGTCGGTCCTCTCTGCGGGGACTGCAGCTGTACAACTTTCTGCGTGCTGTTTGAATGGGAAAGAGCGGACTGAACTCTTTTGGACACCGAGGGGGGGTTTATTGAGACTTATCGGCGGGTACTCGTCCTCGTTTGTTTTGGTAGATGACACTGAACGTGGTGTGACAGGAGTCCACACCGAGCGCGCCTCGCAGTCACAGAGATGAACTTTTGTGTTGTGCATTGCTGGATGATAACGAGCTGAATGCACAATGAGTGGAGCTCATTAGCCTCACGGTTCCAGCAGCACTCTTTATGATTGGGAATACAAAGATTTCTCTGCCTCTCTGGATACCTTGAGGTCTCTCTCTCTTTGGAGCGCAACTGGATGTTCTCCCGGAATTGTGAATTAAAATTAGCTTTAACTTCAGACTGTGTGTTTCATATATTCACCCTTCTCTTCTTTAGCGTTTGGACTGTGATCTTAACTTTAGAAAGATGAGCATATACAGGCTGGCTTTGTCCTGCTTGGTGGCGTGCGTCCTCTCCGTGCGCAGCAGCTCGGTGACCGGGACCGAGACTCAGGGCTCGCCCCAGGAGTCGTGCGCGTCCTGCGGTCTGAGGGCTCCGGATCAGTCGGAGCGGGTGAACATAGACTTTTTGGAGGCGGTGAAGAGGCACATACTGAACCGGCTGCAGATGAGGGACAGACCCAACATCACGCACCCCATCCCGAAGGCTGCGATGGTGACGGCGCTGAGGAGGCTGCATGCCGGGAAAGTGCGAGAGGACGGCCGGGTGGAGATCCCCAGCTTTGACGGACAGGCTGCGTTCAACAACGAGGTTCAAGCGGAGAACTCTGAGATTATCAGCTTCGCCGAATCAGGTAATAATCAATAATTCATCCACACACACACACACACACACACACACACACACACATCCAAATCGACCCCTTGATGAACCCAACCACCCTCTGACTTTATGTAACAGGCAGCCAATGCAGGGAACCAGGTGAGTTCAAATCAGCCTCATTCATAGATGGAGGTTGATTCTGTAAAGCTTATCGTGTTGATCTGACTGAGCAGCAGAGACAGAATAGATTGTATGGACAGAACAGTTTTTTTTGTTGTTTTTTTTAAAAGCCATAAACTAATTGGATCCAGTGCAGGCATCATTTTCATCATCTTCTTACATCACAAGCCCCCCTGAAGCCTGAAGCCAGTGCTTGGTGTTAAATCCTCCTGTTTGAGCCCGATGGAAATGAAAAAGAAATGAAACTAAAGACAGAGTCCTTAAATTACCCTCATGTGTTGTCTAGGGGATAAAAAGAACCTCTGAATCCAATTTCATCACTAAAGCTGTGCTCACACTCAATACTCCAATGTATAAAGCCCTCTTTTAAATACGGACAAAGTCCCTCAATTGGCCATTTATCCCTTCCTCTAAGAATGTGTATCTAACTAATTCTCAGAAGTCCAAAGAGAACACCCTTTCCCCTCTCTGCCTCTCTCTCTCTCTCTCTCTCTCTGTCTCATACACACACACCCCCACAGGTTCCACACACACACACACACACACACACACACACACACCTAAAATCATCTGCGCTTGACAGAATCCAATAATTGTCAGTTAGCACGGTGAGAACCACGTCTTTGACACAAACTGTTAGTTTAACAAAAAGAAAACATACAATTAAAGACACCAAAATAGGATGTCTTAAACACACACACACACACACACATACACACCATTCTGTATTTTCCCATTGGCCCTGCCGGTACAATTAGCCTGAATGGACTGCTAGGTCCCGCCTTCCAATGAGAATGATCTGAGCAGCCTCATGACAAGGGAACAAAAGCCAGGCAATTATTATAAGAGCACTATGTGTTCCTGCTGAACCCAACATGTCAACGTTAAGCAGAAAAAAAAGCAAAGAAAACAAAAGAAATCAGAATAATGCATGAGACATTTGAGTTCGTGCAGGGTTGGACTGGGGGAGTGTGGGTGGAGGGGTATGCTGTTGGCAGGGGGGGTGATATTGTGTTGTGTGCCCATATTGCAGCGTTGCAAAGAATGTTTTTGTCGTTCTAAAGGTTCGCTGGGCTGCTTTTGCTTCTTCTTCTTCTTCTACTTCTGTTTTTTTTCTGGTTCTATTCTTCCTCACACCTTTGAGCCTTTGTGTGGCATTGTACCATGGAGCTGGCTTGGGTCCCTGCTCCCTAGACCCCGTCTGCCTCCTGGCCAGCTGGCTCACGCCCCCCAGATCGGATGCTGCCAGCCAGGGCATGGCTCAGAGGCAAGGTCTCCAGAAAGCTCTGAAGCCAGGGGAGCTTGTCCCCCAAGCATGAGGGAGCCTGAATTGTTGTTGTCACAGTTTAGGACAAGGCGGGTTTTTGGGGGGTGAGGTTGGCATATGTTTAGCCAACAGCGAGCCAAATGGATGATAGGGGTTTATGTGCGTGATGTATGCGTGGAACAGTGAGGTCAGCTCGCGTCCGCTGCCTCCCCTCAGCACAGGGTTAACTGCGTGCTTGTCGGCCAGGGAGCTGGCTTCTTATCTCCGGTTGCGGTAGCGCAGAGGTAAGAGGTCTGCCAAGCGGCCCCGGGCAGGTGAGGGAGACGATGCCAATCTCCCTTCTCCCCTGACATGGTCCCG